AAAAAAAAAAAAAAAAAAAAAAAAAAAAAAAAAAAAAAAAACCCAGCTTAGTAATAAAAAAAAAATCTCCCTTTTTTTAATGACCAGCTACATCTCAACTTCCTATTCTGTCAAACTCTCCCCTAGGCTAAGGGCTTTTCTCCCAGCTTCACAACTCCAGCACATGACCCTTCTTAAATGCCTCTAACTGATCTTATAGCATTAGTAATTTACGGGAAATTCACTGACAGAAAACTAACTTTTGGAAGACTTTTTGGAGTCAGACATGCTCAACACAAGGTGATAACATAAGCTGAAGTTATATTAACTTACAAGTCAATCCTTTAACATTAGATGCATTCAACAGAAACAGAAAAATCTGAAATAAACTTCAAGGGATTGGAAAATACAGAAGTCTAACAGGTTATTTTAGAAAAGATATTTTAGAGGAAGCAGTGCTCCATAGAAGCAATAGGGAATAAACTAGTACAGTTAAATGTGGATTTGAAAAGGAAGGGAAAGATTTCTAAAAGACAATCAAGGATGGGCAAAAAAATGACCCGACTTCTCAAAGCTAACAAAAAAGTATTATTATGCAAATGTAGTCAGGCAGCAGCCATGCCTATCTCCAAATGTCCCTTCTCCAGATGAATTCATCTACAGAGGGGAGAGGGTACACCCCACTATATGGAAAACGAAAATCATAAAGAAAGTTATATAAAATGTTTAAAAAGTCTGGTATGAAGTAAGTACTACACAGGCTAGCTTAGGCTCAGTTTCCATTCTGAACTAACAAAATCTCAGAACCAACTTCTGTCTATAACGAGATGACAGGCAGTTGATATGTTGAATATGATTGCAACATATCTCATTTACCTCTTGGCAAGCTCCGAACCCCATACTCAGTAGCTACCTGCTGCCCACACCACCAGCTTCAGCCCTGTGATCACTTACAACTTCCTCATGTGAATAAACTGTGACCACTATTCCCCAGAACACATGAAACTGATCTAGCTCTGGGCCTAGATAGCAGCACAGAAATCCATTCCATTATTTCTTCTAACTGTACCCAAAATGCTATCATCAAAATCCTAGGAGGAACAATTTAAGCATCTGGGAACCTTCCAAATGATTTTCCTCTTTTAGGAATTCCTCACTGCATGTCTTCTTGCAGGCCACACCTGTCACAGAATGTGTTCTGGAGCTCCATTTGCACAAAATTAAGTCATTCTGTTAGCTGTGGGAAATTGAGGACAACTTATTTTGCTCTGTGTATTTTCATTCTCCCAAAAACTCTAAAAATGTTTTGGGACACAGGACACATGTTCTTGTTTGGATCTTTCTCAGAAAAATGGCAATATAAGGGACTCAACAAAAATTCTCTAAATTACGAAGAAATTAACAACCTCACCTGAACTGTTACAACTGCCGCTCCTTGGCACTTCTTACCACCACTGCCTCTGCACTCCAAATGCAGGGTGGTCTGCTCTTCTCGGTTAACATACTGTTTGGGCATTGTCTCCAACAGCTCACCATCCAAGGCAACCTGCTGAGACTCCCGGAGAGCTGCAGTTCTGAAAAGCAACCCCATGTGGGAAAACAAAGTTAAGGAAGGTTATATAAAAAGTGATCAAAGGGTTGGGGCTGGAGGATAGCTCAGCACTCAAAAGTACTGGCTGATCTTCCAAAGGACTTAGGTGCAATATTCAGCATCAACACCCAGCATCCATATGGCAGCTCACAACCTTCTCTAACTTCTGGTTCAATACCCCATGGGGGGGAGGGCACGACATGACATAGCATATCAATAATATGTTAGCAAACAAATATTCATATATACATGAGTATGTATATATACAAACATCAAATGCCTGAATCAAATGTATCCAAAGAAAAACTGTCAATAAAAGAAATGATTCACAGGGGATTTGTAAAACTAAGCTTGTTTGTTGTCAATAAAACCTTCTTGCCCATATATATGCCTCAAGAGTGCAACTGAGAACCAAACCTTAAACAGTTCATTATTCTGAATGTACTAGTAAACTCCAAACAAATGACTTCCCTACTCCTTGACCAAGTATCTGTGTCAATCTTCTAAAAAAAGAAGGCGGAGAGCAAAGCAATGATACAAGAATGTAAACTTCATGCCCCCAGCCCTTCTAACACTGTCTTTCCAATATCAGGCAGTTTTCTGAGAGAAATCATAAAATGTCTCAGCCAGAACTACTGACCTCAGAACAATCCCACAGGAAAAAGGTGAGATTGACAGTGTGACAATACCACATAATATGACATTTAAAAACTTGTCACAGAGACTAGAGAGATGGCTCAGTAAGAGCATTTATTGTACTTCCACAGCACCCAAGTTTGCCTCCCAACACCCATTTCAGGTTGCTCATAGCTGTTACTCCTCAAGGCCTCCTGGTCTTACCTGGCACGCTGCTGCAACAGGTTCAGGTCTGTGCACATCAGCTGGGTGGTATCCTTCTGACTCAACAGCACAGCTGAGGAGATGAGAGGCACGGGAGGTCTGACCAGATGCAGAACAAGGGGAGGTTGGGGAGCCTCGTGCTTCCGTAAGTTACTCAGAACCCTTTCTTTTGCTGAAAGGAAGGCCATATGTACTCAGCAATGGTACCAAGGGGTGGTGATGCACAGAAGAGACACAAAGTCCTGCTCTGTTACTCTGATATCATTTTCAGAATAGTTCCTTAGGCAAAGGGAGCCTAACTGGATGGTTAAATGTGTGATTCTTTCAAGTGTAAGTTCCCACAAGCCTAATAATAGACTTTGAGGAGCTAGGAGATTGGGAGCATGGCTGAAGAGATGGATCAGTCTATCAACTGCTGGTTATGCAAACATTAGGACCTGATTCCAACACCAAGAATCTACATACAAAAGAAAAGACTAGGCCCAGTGACTGGCATCTGTAATCCCAGGGATGGCAAGACACAGCTGGATCCCTGGGACTTGCTGGCCAACCAGACTAGCCTATTCAATGAGCTCCAGGCCAAGAAGAGACTTGTCTGAAAAAGCAAGGTGCATAAAGACTTGCATTCAGGATTGACTCCTGCCTCTACATGCCATGTATGGGCACTAACACACACATGCACCTATACAAATATGCACTCTTGCCTCCTAGACACATACAGAATTTATAATCTAATGGTTAAAGAGAAAAGACTTAAAGTAAAACTTTAGACAGTCTTGCATGACATGCTAGTTGAACTTAATGTTAGCATGTGCTGATCTAGCATCTGCGTAATGGATGGGATCCGTTCAGAGGTGTGTAGTTTAATACCACTATCCTGAGAAACTTCATAGAAATAGGTGAGAAGGGAATGGGCATTACAGAATAGAGTAGAAGAAAAATCTGAAATCCCATCAAGTTTTGAACAGGAAAGCTGGAAGTGTAAGGAATGAAAATGGTTTATAAAATCCTGTATAGCCTACACTTGCATAGTTAGATAATAAGTATGACTTACTCATAAAATGATTTACAGAGTCCAAATAAGCAGCAGTCCGGTGTTATGAAAGAAAAATGAAGGTGTTGGGACTGTACAGCTCTGCAGTGATCACACGGTTCGGACAGACTTATCAAATTGAAATATTTCTATTCCTAATACAAATTCCCACTTCCCTCTCTCTTCACCACACTACACACAAACCACCAACAGTAAGTGGGGAACTGAAGAACATGAAGACCAATGCTGTCACCTCCCAATTCCTTCACTTAGGCAGATGGAAGGGAAAGGACAAGGGAACTTCAAGTCAGTAAGTCATCAACAAAAACTTAAGGGATTGCTGTAAAAGTCCAGTTTTGTACCAGACATAACAGTGAATTTTCTATTCTTGTTGAAAAGTAAAACTAAAGTTAATAGCCATGATTTTCATAAAGACATTTGTATTATATGCACCCCAAACAGATGGAATTAGCATTCCAAAAGGTCAAGTGCAGCACTGAGCTTATAGCTTATATTTTAACTGAAACTATCAATCCTTGCACAGACTTGGCAAAGTTGGAAAGTGGTATACCATTTGATAAGATTTGTGACATTATAGGTTATGTATGATGTTAAGAGAAAAACTAGGGGCTCTTTCAAATCCACTATAACTTATCATGAAAGAAAAATCAAGGATAACAATTACTCATATACTAGTAGTATTAGTATTAGTATTAGTATTAGTATTAGTATTATCTGTCCTGGCTGGCCTGCAACTCACTATGTAGACCAGGCTAGCCTCAAACTCACAGAGATCCATCCATCTGTCCCTGCCTCCCAAATGCTGGGGCTAAAGGCTAAAACCTCCACACCCAGCCAAGAGAATTTTTTAAACAAAAGAGAAAAAAATAAGCCAGTCAGTAATGGGGCACACTTTTAATCCCAGCACTCAAGAGGCAGAGGCAGGCATCAGATCTCTGTGAGTTTGAGGCCAGCCTGGACTACAAAGTGAGTTCCAGTAAGTGCAGCCAGGACTACAACAGAGAAACCCTGTTTCAAAAAAAAAAAAATTAATTCAGGGTATATTTAGCTATAATCATCACTCGAACAAAACTGGTGGAAATACTGAAGTCTACAAAACAAATTTGAGAAAAAGAACATGGTATCACAAAAGCACTAGTCAAATCTTTCCTACAATTTCAAATATATATTCAATCATTTGGCAAATCATATTTATTATGTAATCATAATCTTATTTGAGAAAAACCTTCAACTTATCTAGAAACCCAAGCATTTTTTTTTTAATTTCAAACTGTAAAGATTGCTTAGAACCAAGAAACAGGGCACTGAGTGTAAGTGTGATCTCTATAGCCAGACACTGCCACTTCCCAGCTCTGTGAGCCATGAAGCCACCCATTGACCTTCCGCCCCAGGTTGCTTCAATGCTTAATGGGGACAGCCTGCACTGGGTTGCAGTGAGGACTGAGTTTACATAAATGAAAAAGAACTACAGATGGGCAGCAATAGAAGCACTGGCATTTCTAGAGCTAGCCTGGTGTTTCTCATTTAGCAAACATCCAGCAATAAGAAATAAATGTCTGTATGGACAAGCTGAGGGCAGATTTCATATCTTCCTCTGTATTTTCCATAGCACTTTCTTTATGTGCACATATAAGTTTTGCAATCACAAAAATATTTTTGGAGGAGAAACAAGGAAAGAAATGTTGGAATTTCAGAAAATGTTGATGCCATAAATGAAACTTCAGCAGATGAGTAGACTGAAGGAAGCCCAAAGAGTCCTTTTTCCCTCTTTACTCAATGAACAAATTGATTGGGGCAAAGCTGAAATAAAAGAGCATCCCTGCCTCTCCTTTTTATTACACTGTAATTGTAATGTTATCAACAATTGATAACTTTATTATATGTCATACATTCTAAAACTATATTCCATAATTAATGTTAAAGGTAAGCTCAGATACAATTTTCCATGTTTTAAAATTGGGCATATGCCAGGAACTCTGTGGGTTAAATGGCTTTGAGGCCTGGTCTGGAGCACTAACTGATGTCTTAATGCACTGTATT